TGCTGCTGCTGCTGCTTGCGCTTCTGCGTGGCTGAGTCATTTTGCAGCAACGATACAGTCAGTTCGAGCAGCAAGTGCTGCTGCAGCCGTTGCATCTGCTGCTGCCGCTTGTGCGCTTCGCTGCTGCTGCTGCTGCAGCAGCAGCAGGAAGTGTGGGGTGTGCGTGCTGCAGCACGCTGCTGTGGGCCTACTGCAGCCGCCAGGCCCCGCAGCAGCAGCCAGTGTACACCTACGTGCTGCTGGACCCTTCTGTGCCCCCTGCTGCTCTTGGCAGCAGGCAGCTAGCGCTAGTTATGCTGCTGCTGTGGCTAGTTGTGCTGCCGGCAGTGGAGATTTTGCTGCTGTGGTGGGGGCGCCGCGGCGGCGCCTCCCTCTTAGAGGAGTCAGTGACCCCAAACCCTAAACCCTAAACCCTAAACCCTGTGGTCTGGCTAGAGAGGGCGCTCTGGGATAGGAGCAATCTAGTGTAGTCCACTGTGCTGCTGTGCTGTGCTGCTGCTTCCGTTTTGCTGCTGCTTCTGCTTTGCTGCTGCTGCTGCCACTTCTGCTGCTATTGCTTCTGTTTTCTGCTGCTGCTACGACTGCTTGTGCGCCGCTTCCCCTTCTGTCGCTGCTGCTGCTGCTGTTGCTGCTGCTGCTGCGGGCGTGCAGGCACCCGCTGACAGCGGGTTGGCTTGTGTCGGGGTTCAGCGAGAGTTTCTTTTGGTGGTACTTCCTGCAGCAGGCGTCTGTATACCTGATTCAAGTCGCAATTGCTGCTGCTCTTGCTGCAGCCTACAGTGTACAGACACTCGAGGGGCCCCCGGGCTTCACAGCTCCCGCTTTTATTCCTAAAGTTTCTTCAACTCTTCAGTCCCTCGCAGTTCTCAACATCACCGTCATTTACGCCATCGCTCACCTCAGGTACCCTCGCTAGCTCGCCAGCTAGCTAGCTGGGTCGCTAGTAGGCTAGCTAGCGAGCTAGCTAGCTAGCTATCTAGCTAGCTGGGTGGCTCGCTAGCTGGCTAGCTAGGTGGCTCGCTAGCTGGCTCGCTAGCTGGCTAGCTAGCCAGCGAGGTAGCTAGCCAGCTAGGTAGCTGGCAAGCCGGCTACCTAGCCAGCTGGCTAGCTAGCCAGAGAGGCAGCTAGCCAGCTAGGTAGCTGGTTAGCTGGCTACCTAGCCAGCTGGCTAGCTAGCCAGCTGGCTAGCTGCTAAGTTGCTAGCTAGTCGCCTGGCTACGTAGCAAGTTAGGAAGCTACGTAGCTAGGTATATGGGTAGCTAGGTATCTAGATAGCTAGCTAACTAGCTAGCCAGCTAGCGAGCTGGCTGGTTGGCCTGGGCTTTTTGTGGGTTGGCTGCTGCTGCAGTTTGCAAATTTACGCGAGGGAGAAGCGCATGATAGCAGCAAGCTCAGCCAGGTGAAAAGGCCTAAGCTGCTGCTCCTGCTTGTTGCTGCAGTTTGCTGCTGCTGCCCCTGCTGCTGCTGCTGCTTGCTGCTGCCGTCTGCTGCTGCTGCTTGCTGCTGCCGCTTGTTAGTGCTGCTTCGTGCCGCTGTTTGCTGCAGGTGTATGCTGCTGCTGTTCGCTGCTCCTGCTTGCTGCTGCTGTTCGCTGTTGCTGCCTGCTGCTACTGTTTGCCGCCACAGTCTTCTGCTGCTGCGGTTGCTGCTTATTGCTGCAGCATGGCAGATAGGTCTTTTGTTTTCGCACTTTATTTGCTGCTGCTGCTGCTTCTATCTCCTTCTGTTGCGTATGTGCTGCACGCGATAGTTGCTCACGGCCTACGCTTATGCGTGCTGCCTTTTGAACTGCTGTTGGTCATGTTGCTGCTGCTGCTGCTGCTGTTCATGTCGCCGCTG